AGTCTAACCAGAGGTGGTCCTCAGTGTGTGAAGCTGACTTTGACCAGCAGGATGCAGAGGTGGTCTGTAGGGAGCTTGGCTGTGGGGCTCCTTCAGTCCTCCAGGGGGCGCTCTATGGAGAAGTGGAGGCTCCAATGTGGACCAAAGAGTTCCAGTGTGGAGGCCATGAGTCTGCTCTCCTGGACTGTAGAAGCTCAGGCTCAGATAGAAACACCTGCTCACCTGGCAAAGCTGTTGGACTCACCTGCTCAGGTAGAAGAGGAGCTGCAGCTTTGATTTGGTTCATTTCTCTTACACTCACTTTGTTCTTTTACTGACGACTCTCTGGTTTCTGTTCAGAGCCTGTCAGGTTGGTGGGAGGATCCAGTCGCTGTGCAGGAACACTGGAGGTGAAACAGGGAGAGTGGAGACCAGTATATGACTTGAACTCTCAGTGGACCCTGAAGGAAGCAGCTCTAACGTGTACAGAGTTGGGCTGTGGCTCTGTTGTTTCTGTAAGACAGAAAGAAGAGTCCTCAGATGAACTTGTATGGGTATTGACAGCTGGCTGTGTTCCCTCTGCACCTTTTTTAAAAGACTGTGCAATACCAACTTCCTCTTTCTACACCCCAAACACCCAGATCACCTGTTCAGGTAAGTCCATCAGTGATCTCATCTCTGACAGGGCTGTGATGATAATTGCATTACTGCAGTGATGCAGTCACATGACGCTACCGCAGTGATGAGGACATCACAGTGCATTTGAGATCAGAGCTGTCATACACATGCCTAGTCAGGAACACAGCCTCTACACGGGTCAACACACTAACTAGCAGCACTTAACATGTTTGTTGTTTCATAATAAAAACAATTTTTCTTTTCTGACTAATGACTCTCCTGTTTCCGTTCAGAATCTGTCAGGTTGGTGGGAGGATCCGGTCGTTGTACTGGAGCACTGGAGATGAAACATGGGGATGACTGGAGGCCAGTGTACGGCCATCATTGGAGCATGAGGGATGCAGCTGTATTCTGTAAAGAGCTGGACTGTGGCTCTGCTGTTTCCCTACGACAGAGAGAGGAGTCCTCAGCCAGACCTGTGTGGACGATGACATCTGGCTGTCTTCACTCTGGATCTGCTCTGAGGGGCTGTGCAATGTCAGATTCCACTTCCTATACCTTGGAGATCACCTGTTCAGGTAACTCCAGCAGTGAGATCATCTCTGACAGTAGTGTTTCTTGAGTGTTCCTCTAAGACAAAACACATGACTAAAGACATGACTACTGACTTCAGAAGATCAGCACCAATCCCTCCCTTCTTGACCATTGTCAAAGGTAAAGGAGTAGATATATGGAGAGCTACAAGTATCTTGGTACATTAATTGACAAGAAATTTTACTTTGATCTGAACACTTGCAGCAATGTGTAGGCCAGCAGAGACTTTATTTTCTATGGAGGGTTAATGTCTCTGCTGGTAACATCACTGAGATGGCCAACAAGATCATCTGTAAGCAGCAGTCCTCATTGTCAAATATCATTTGTTGCCAGGTCTTGAGGACAGCAGGATCAATTTTAGGAAGCCGGGACCTTTCTCTTGCTGAGGCATTTGATCTCACCGTTCCAAGGGCAATGCGCAATAGATTTAAATTATCCATTGTTCCTAGTGTAATGCACATGCTTAGTTTGTTGGTGAAGATTTTCAGTCATCCAGGTCATCGTAATCTTAAGTGCTATCTCGTAGGCAACTGGACTTGATCGAGTTTCTTGAAGACATTTCTTGACTGAGAAGTGAAACATCATCCAGAAGGTCAAGCAAGTCCGGTTTCCTACGATATATCACTTAAAACTGACATGCTTAATTTGCACAAAAGGCAATTGTTAACCTTGCACCTGTGCACTTGTAGTTTACCTATGTCAGCCATTTTGTTTCATAGGCCATGCAGCCTCCATTTTGAAATCAGGTTTGTGAAATGGTCATTTTCACTGACAATAGCCGTGGCCATAGGCATAATGTTTCCAGGTTGTCTGTCCATCCGTACAAATGTATGTCCCTTCCATTCTCATGAAAGTGATATCTCAAGAACACCTTGAAGGAGATTCTTTAAATTTGGCCCAAACATCCACTTCAACTCAAGGATGAAACAATTCAGTTTTTGTTGTCAAAGGCCCAGGTTACTGTAACTTGGTCCATCATATTCTTGTGAACATGATGTCTCAAGAACGGGTGCCTGAAAACTCAGCAGGTAGAGTGGACATCCAATGCACAAAGGGTCTTTGCTGCAGCAGCTGTGGGTTTGACTCCAGCCGATGGCAGTTCACCTCATGTCATTCCTTCTCTTTCTCTCCCTCTCTGTTTAAATCATCCCATCCAATAAGTAAAAAAAAAAAAAATCTTAAAAAGAAAAAGAACAAACAGCGTCTGAATTTCCTCACATTTGGCACAAAAATCCACTTGGACTCAAGAATGAACTGCTTGGATTCTGGTGATCAAAAGTCAAAGTTGAGGTCACTGTGACCTCAGAAAACATGTTTCTGGCCACAACTCTTAAATTCATGATCTAATTATGGGGGAAGTTCTGTGCAGGTATATGTGATGCTGGAGACAGATGATGTCTCAGAGTGAACTGTGACCTCTCTCTTTCTCTCCAGACTCCGTCAGGTTGGTGAATGGGACCAGTTTGTGTTCAGGCAGACTGGAGGTGAAGCCTAAACAGTCTAAACATTATAAAGAGAGGTGGTCCTCAGTGTGTGAAGCTGACTTTGACCAGCAGGATGCAGAGGTGGTCTGCAGGGAGCTTGGCTGTGGGGCTCCTTCAGTCCTCCAGGGGGCGCTCTATGGAGAAGTGGAGGCTCCAATGTGGACCAAAGAGTTCCAGTGTGGAGGCCATGAGTCTGCTCTCCTGGACTGTAGAAGCTCAGGCTCAAATAGAAACACCTGCTCACCTGGCAAAGCTGTTGGACTCACCTGCTCAGGTAGAAGAGGAGCTGCAGCTTTGATTTGGTTCATTTCTCTTACACTCACTTTGTTCTTATACTTACGACTCTCTGGTTTCTGTTCAGAGCCTGTCAGGTTGGTGGGAGGATCCAGTCGCTGTGCAGGAACACTGGAGGTGAAACACCAGACAGAGTGGCGACCGGTGGATGGTGATGACTGGAGCCTGAGGGAAGCAGCAGTAGTTTGTGAAGAGCTGGACTGTGGCTCTACAATATCTGTGGGACAGCGAACAGAGTCTTTAGCCAGACCTGTATGGACGATGACGTCTGAATGTGTTCACTCTGGATCTGCTCTGAGGGACTGTGTAACATCATATTCCTCTTACGCTGTCCAGGAGGTCACCTGCTCAGGTAGAAGAGGAGCTGCAGCTTTGATTTGGTTCATTTCTCTTACACTCACTTTGTTCTTTTACTGACGACTCTCTGGTTTCTCTTCAGAACCTGTCAGATTGGTGGGAGGATCCAGTCGCTGTGCAGGAACACTGGAGGTGAAACAGCGGGAGTGGAGACCAGTGGACAATTGGAAATATATTTGGACCCTGACAGAAGCAACTACATTTTGCAGAGAGGTGGACTGTGGCTCAGCTGTTTCCGTCAAATGGAGAAAGGAGTCCTCACACAGACCTGTGTGGGTAATGTCATCTGACTGTGTTCAATCTGGATCTGCTCTGGAGGACTGTGTAAGACCAGATTTCTCTTCCTACATCCTGGAGATCACCTGCTCAGGTAAGTTCATCAGTGATATGATCTGGGACAGTAATGTTTCCACTGTGTTCATTTCTCTTTCACACTGACAGTCAGTGGTTTCCACTGGACTGAATCCAGTCAGTCCAAAGAGCTTAAGAACACCTGGAGGAAACCCACGCTGACACAGGGAGAACATGTGAGAGCACCTGGAGGAAACCCACGCTGACATGGGGAGAACATGTGAGAACACCTGGAGGAAACCCACGCTGACACAGGGAGAACACGCAGACTCTGCACAGAGGGGCTCCCCCACCAGTAACCCTCTTGCTGTGAGGCGGCAATGTTAACCACTGCACCACCATGCCGTCTACATTACTGCTCCTGGCTTCCAGCCTCCCTCCTCACACCTACTCCACATCCAGCAGGGGGCTCATTCTGCCTCCTCCCCCATCCTACGAGTTGGTTGTCTCTTGCTCCTTTCGTCCAGGCCCAGAGCTGACAACAACCTCTGCAACCGATCTCCACAGGGAACAACCATGCCTGCCATCCCTTGTCCGTGCACCCCTGGTACTTCAGGGCTTTTCTCTCATGGGCCTCACACCCTTCTCCTCCCATGGCACCGTCTGTTCAACAAGAGAGATGTTCTTGTCTTCTGCTGACCACAATACAGTGCCCAGGCCTTGGGATGTGTGCACCATCTCTGGGAGCAGCAGCCTCTTCCCTACGTCAACCCTTATCTGCCAGGGCCTGACAGTCTGCGGAAGATGGGCTTTGGTGTTTTAGTTAAGAAAGGCCTGGCTCCTACATTAATGAAGCTGATGGCCTTTTTAGATCCCGCTCTGGTTGGCCTCTTCTTGTATCTGTTCATATTGTGTTTTTCAGAATAAGGGCGAAAACCAGCATATTTTGTGCATGTGAACAAAGTGATTAGTGTGAATGTTTCAGTTGCATTATTTCCAAAGATAAATTACGTGTTACATTTAAATTACGTTTCATAGGTGCCATTCAAAGCAAAATATATAATCACAAGAGTTTAACCATTTTTCTCTCTCTCTGTCTCCAGACTCTGTCAGGCTGGTGAATGGGACCAGTCTGTGTTCAGGCAGACTGGAGGTGAAGTCTAACCAGTCTAACCAGTCTAACCAGAGGTGGTCCTCAGTGTGTGAAGCTGACTTTGACCAGCAGGATGCAGAGGTGGTCTGCAGGGAGCTTGGCTGTGGGGCTCCTTCAGTCCTCCAGGGGGCGCTCTATGGAGAAGTGGAGGCTCCAATGTGGACCAAAGAGTTCCAGTGTGGAGGCCATGAGTCTGCTCTCCTGGACTGTAGAAGCTCAGGCTCAGATAGAAACACCTGCTCACCTGGCAAAGCTGTTGGACTCACCTGCTCAGGTAGAAGAGGAGCTGCAGCTTTGATTTGGTTCATTTCTCTT